AGCTATTTTAGCCGGCAGTTCATTCTGCATCCTCCGGTGGATAAAGCCAAACGTCGAGTGACCAGAAGGCTGCACAAAATGCGAAAACCTAGTGCGCCTCTTGTTTTCACCAGCGGTGAGGTAAGGGTAGCCATCGGGAAGGCGAAAGCCTCCAAAGCCATTGGACCCGGCGGAATATGCATGTTGGTGCTGAAAAATTTGGGTCCTGCGGGAGTAGCGTACCTAACGGAGGTCCTCAACCTGTCTATGACCACTCTACTCATTCCAGACATTTGGAAAATGGGGAGAGTGGTCCCACTGCTTAAACCGGAAAAACCAGCCAACAAAGGAGAGTCTTATCGCCCGATAACTCTCCTTTCCCCGGTAGCGAAGACACTCGAGGCCCTGCTGCTCCCGTACTTCAGGAACCACCTGACCCCAGCGAAGCATCAACATGGGTTCCGTAAAGTGCATAGTACAACAATAGCACTTAACGCCATAAACACTCAGATAACTCGTGGCCTAAACCGAAACCGCCCCTGTGAGAAAACAATTCTAGTAGCGTTGGACCTGTCCAAGGCGTTCGACACTGTCAGTCGTTCAACGCTACTAGAAGATATAGAGGTCTCCTCACTCCCACAGGGACTCAAACGGTGGTCGGCGAATTACCTGAGTGGTCGACACTCGTCAGTGATCTTCAGAGACAAAACTGGCAAGCCACGTAAAATTAAACAGGGGGTACCACAGGGAGGTGTCCTGTCCCCGCTACTGTTTAATTATTACATATCAAAGCTTCCTCAGCCACCAGAGGGTGTTAATATAGTCTCGTATGCTGACGATTGTTCGATCATGGCGTCTGGGAATGGAATTGATGACTTGTGCTCAAAAGTAAACGGTTACCTCTCCGAACTTTCTCGCTTCTTCACTGCAAGGAGCCTTGCCCTATCCCCTGCGAAATCCTCGGCCACCCTTTTCACCACCTGGACGAAGAAGGTCAGAGTGCCACTGGGTATTCACGTCGATGGCGTAACAATACCGACGGTGAATAACCCGAAAATCCTCGGAGTTTGGTCGCCGGGGACTAGCAGGACGCAGTGGATGAAGCTGCAGACCTGCCAAAACACGGCATTACGAACTGCGACAGGATAGCCCAACTTCGCTCTGGCTATTGCAGCAGGCTCAACAGCTACCTGAGCAGAATCAACGAGGATGTGCCCAACCAATGCCCGGCATGTGGAGAGTCGCCACATGACTCCCGGCACCTCTTCACATGCCCTGAGAATCCCACTCAGCTAACGCCCCTGTCCATATGGACAGCCCCTCTGGAAGTAGTACACTTCCTGGGCCTCCCCCTAGCTGAAATAGACGACAACGTTGATGGATGAACCGCCCCGAACGGGTGTAGTGTGTAGTAAGTATGCAGTGTGACTTTTAAAGAACAAACAAGTCGAAGCAAACTAACCCAAATCATTTCACAATTCAACTCGCACAAATAAATATCAAATATCATTATCAAAAGACCTTGATGGCATTCTTTGTCACTTCAGTTCATTACCACTTAAACCATTTCACTTTCAATGCTAAGACCACCCAATGCCTAATTGCCGACAAAGCAGTCTTTGTCATCAACGGCATGGTCACCGTAAAAAAAAACAGACAAAATCGGCCCCCTTAGCAAGGCACTGTGTGCGGGTTCGTGTGTGTGTGCAAAGCTTTTGTAAGGGAGTTAAGGGAGTGTCAAAACTTGAAATTTTCCTATTTCCTATAGAAAAATTTCAAGTTTTCGATTCGTACGAAAACCAGAATACGCCTCATTGAATCATGTATTGAAACTACATATCTTCTTTTCAAATCTAAAAAATAGGTACACTTTAAAAAAGTCTAATTTTTTATTTTGTGGGCACACCTATGTTTTGTATATGATTCTATTCGTAATCTCTTAATAAAACGATAAATGTAATTGTAATTCATTTTCATCAAGTGCTTCAAAAGTTAGACAAGGAATAACCATTTAGATCGCTGAAATAGAAAACAAAAGAATAAGTTGGGTTCAAATTACGCTGTGCAAGTTGTAAATTTGAGAAAAAATTTTGATTGATTTTACCAGATTGGCTTCTCCACCTCAGTTTTGAAGCTATTTTACTAAATTTTTGCACATGACTATGAATTATATCCACAAGCGACCAGCTTTATACAGTTTACAACAATGAAAATAAAGCTAAATAACACAAAGGTTACCTGTTTTTTTAGATTTGCCCATATACGTACATATGTGCACATTAGGGTGGTCCAAAAATACATGTGAAAAAGTAAACTCGGAATTTTAATGCTCTCGCCCCCTAGGATTGTTCTATACCGAAAAAAATACCCCTTTTTTTAATTTTAATATTAATAATAATAGATTGGCGCTTTACACATACGTTAGTGTTTGGCCGAGCTTCTCCTCCGAATTGTGGCGTGCGCCTTGATGTTGTCACACAAAGCGGAGGGACCTACAGTTTTACGCCGACTCCGAACGGCTATTGTATTTTTATGAGAAGCTGTTTTTCATGGCAGAAAAACACTCTGAGGTTTGCCATTGCCTGCCGAGGGACGACCGCTGTTAAGAAAAAACCTCTTTTCTATATTTTTTTGCGATGTTGCTTTGACCAGGGTTTGAACCCAGGTGCTGCGGAGTGGAAGCGCGCACTGCTTACCACTACACCACAGCGGCCGAAATCAAAAAATATTTAGAGGTCGCTCAAAGCAAAGTTTTCCATGTATTTTATATGAGAAAAAACACTTTTCGTAGAAATGGTATAAAGTTCTTCAAAGTCAATATTTTTCGATCCGAAAACTCTGTTTTTCTTCAGGATATTCCCAATAATAATACCCAATTATTTATTTAACCCTTTTTTATAGTACATAACTATATTTTATAGGTCTGCCCAGAAAATACAAACTTTACTAATTTTGGACCACCCTAATGTGCATACATATGTATGGATATTTCACAAGATTATACCATATTTTTATAAAATAGAATTTCTCTTTTTTATATCCATTGTACATACCCTAAAAATCCGCCTTAAATGGTTCATCTATGAGGCAAATTTTTGTATTGAAACTGTAGGACTCATTTCAGACTCATATATTCGGAGCGCTCAGAATATGTTTGCAGGGAATTGATTATACTTTGCGTTTTCACACAAAATTACATTTAGAAGTAATTATCTACATTATTAGACGTGCGATATATATATTACATACATGTGTACATATATACATATATGTAACATTTTAGGACTGTTTGTACACGTTGTGAGACCTATCGTCCACCACGCGCTCACCACTGTCGCATTTGCAAGCGCTGCATACGACGTATGGACCATCATTGTCCCTGGATTAATAACTGTGTAGGCGAGAGAAATCAGAAATTTTTTCTTCAATTTCTTTTCTATGTCGGCATACTCTGCATTTATTCTGTTTCAATGGTGGCCTACAGTTTTATATATCCTTGCTCGATTTGCAATGTATCTACTCTGGAAACGCAAACAAGAATGTAAAAGTATACTTAAATATATTAAGTTAACAAATAAAAACATTTATATATTTATGTAAATATATATTTGCAGGCTTCACAGTATTATTCTGCTTTTGGAATCTGCTCTATTTGGTCTTTTCGTCTTGGCTATAATGGTCGATCAGATGCACGCTATACTGCACGATGAAACGGCAGTAGAAGTGGTACAAATGAAAGGTAAAAGCGCCCTACGTCCAAACCGGCGGAAAATTCATTTATTTGCTGAAGTGTTCGGACGAGGCAATCCGCTTTGTTGGCTTATACCGTGCACTAGCTTCAATTCATCTCTGCGGTATTATGATACACCGTTGTTAACGAGCTATGACGTCTAAAATAAATGATTTTGGTGATTGCAAACCAACTTCATTTTAGTTTATTTTTTTATTTTTGAATTTCACATACAGTCAAACAACAAAGTTTAGGTAGGTTTCGATAATTTTTTATAAAAATATAGTTAATTGTACAACAAAAACCTCAATAATCAGAGTTCAAAACCTAGTGAAAAAATTAAAGAAAATTCTGCAAATTTTCACTAAAATATTGCACTTTTTTATTATACTCTTTAGAAAAAATTTGAGTATGCAGTTTTTAGCCTATTGAATCTTAGTACAATAAAGTGCAAGTCGTCGGAAGCTTGGACTTACTATTGATTTTTGGCAAATTTATTTTGAGGTTTCGCTCACTTTCTCCATATACAAAATGATCTAACATTATTTTATGGAGAAAATTAGTGACATTTTTTCTAAACATTGTTATTAAAAAGTGCAAAACTTTAATGAAAAATTGTAGAAATTTCACACATGGTTTGGAACTTGATTTTTTTTAGTTTTTGTTGTAGAATTAACCATATGTTTATAAAAAAATTGGCGAAAAGTAAAATATTTAAAAAATAGTTGCCCGTATTGCAAAAAACTCGCTGTACCTAAACTTTATTTACTGATGTATGTTAACGACAATTTGACAAATTTTGGCTATTTTTCTTTTGTTTGTTTAATGTTTATTATTTTTTTACTAAAATCCATCTCAGTATCTAACAAAAACCATATAGGTACAGATTTTAAACTTCGTAAAAAAATTTGAAAAATTCAACAAAATTTTGCAACAACGGATTTTAAGAAAAATTCTAAGAATGGACGAACTTCTACGGATTTTCACTGATAATGGCATCAGCTGTCAAGGCTATGCGGATGACATTGTGATTATTGATAGAGGGAAGTTCGTGAGCACTCTATGTGATATTTGATGTCTTCCATTCCAATCTTTTGCGTAAATTTTTATTTAAAATATAGCTCATTCAATAACAAGAAAGAAATGGCTATCAAAGTTTTAAACTTTTTAATCTTTTTTGAATATCTTTGAGTATGCAGTTTTGTAGCCCATTCAATTTCAATGTAATAAAGTGCAAGTGTTAAATGGCTATGACTTACCGTTGGGTTACAACAATTCTTTTCGCTCATGGTGTCGCTCGTTTTCTTCCATCTGATTAAAATGTTAGATGTTTAATGGCCATTTTTTTAATTCGCTGAATTTTTGCGAATTTTGTAAAAAGTTTGGAACATTGATTTATATGGTTTTTGTTATACATAGAATGAGCCATACTTTTAATAAAAATTAGCGAAAAAGATTTATAATGGAAAGGGTTTTGAATATCGAGAAAAAAATTAAACCAATACTTCTCTCAGTAACTCTCCGTATTGCATTATTACTTAGACCACTTAGGACAATGAAATGTTCTTGATACAAAATATTTTAAGTCTCTTAACTTAGAATACGTATAATAATCTTTATTTTTATTATGCATTCGTGTAAGAGAGATTTGCAGTAGAACACTGCATTTAGACAGCTTAGAAGAGAAAATACACAACCGATTTGTTTGAGAATACTTTTTGTTATTTCGTTTCAAAATAAATACCACTTAACTACAGACAACCGGTATTGTTTACTAGTAAGCGGTTTAAATTTTGTAAATTACACGAATCGACACCACTTACGCGCTTATACGTCAGTGTAGCTTTTCGGAGCTTAGTATAACATTGTTGGACGAAGAGTCCATTGGGTTTTATTAACACGCTTATTCTAGAACCCGAATTTTCGTAATTCGTTGCGTAATCCACGTGCGCAACCCTTGCGGAAACATGTGCAGCGTTGCCAGCTCCAGTATGGCGGCTGCTTAGTTTGCTCGGAGGTGGTTATGTCGAGTTTGGCACAGGGTTGCACGTTCATTATGGTTTTCATGCCTATTGCCAACACGAAATGAGAATTTCAGATGTACATAACGCACACAATTAATATATTTTTTATGATATCGTATAGGCAATTAACTGTGCCCTAATCTTTGAAGCTCCTACAGCATAAATTCAGTTCTCTGGTTTTCGGTATCACGGCAATTTTTGTGTGTAGCAACAATTGTCTAAAATTTTTGTATATGACAACACCGAATTTGCTGGAGTTTGACCAAACAAAATTAGTTTGCTGTGAGAGTCGCCAAACTCGCTCTCCCCGAGTTTGCTGCAACAACAATTGCACGCAGTTTGCCAAACAAAATTTCTGCATAACACCGACCTTATTAGTATACTGTTTTCTTACATTCAGCGACAATTTTTCAAGCGGTTAACACCAATTAAAGAAACGTTCCATAAAAGCGAACTATATTTTCTCAAATAAAAAGTCTACTATTTTATTTCGCATATCATTTACCTATTGGCTTAATCTGCGCTATTCTCAATAATCTACAACAGGTTATGGACCAAGAAGCTTCCAATTGAATAAATTAACATCAGATCACGTCGTCGAGCCGTACTAGGTGTATGCACAACTTTGTTTTCATCAAGTCGTCTCGTCATAGCGTACATGGAAAAGTTTTTGCATCGAAATAAATTTAGACTGAGTATACAGAGTTTTGAAAACAAAAAAAAAAACAATAGTGGTGGAAAATTAATTTAAATCTTCGCCGTAAAACAACAGGTGTATTTCACAATTGTGTGCAATATTCGCAAGTCACGGTTACCCGATACGTCCAGTTATCGTACGGTATACACTAAAAGTATATTCGATCGCCGTCATCGAATTACAAGAAAAGCAAGACGAAACAGTGGATTCCAAGAAAAACGAAAATATGGTCGTATATTTATTTCAAATATTTTGCCTTGAATTTCTTATTTAAAAATGGATTCTTTTGCAGGGAAAAGAGAGGAAACTAACTTCGTCGGACATGGTTCAAATTATAGGCTATGGAAATTTCAAATAACCGCGTACATTAGCGCACGTGGTCTAACCGACAATATACAAGGAAAAGTACCAGCACAAGACGCTCCAGACCTGGAGAAAGAGCAATATGAGCGAAATGAAGGAAAATCAATGAACGCTATAATTCAATCAATAGACACAGTGCGTGCAAATCTTGTATTGGCATGCAACACGCAAAAGAAATGATGGAAAAGTTAAGCAGTGTCTACGAAAAGAATTCCGCAATTCGCATAATGACACTTTACGAAGAATATTTCTCGCTCAAAATGG